CTGGAACGGTACAATGGCAGGCCGGGAGATGGCAGAGAGGCGGAAGGGGGGGGCGGAGGCCCCTGTCGGTCTTTGGAACGTATATTCGTGACGGACTGCGGACGGTTGGTGGGCTACGTGACCTCGATGGACCTGCTCGTGCAGGACAGGGCGGCGCCGCTCCTTTCGATCGTGCGATCGTGCGAGGTGGTGGTCCGGGACTCGGACGAGTACGACGATGCCATCGGTGCCATGCGGGCGAAGCGTTTGAATTACGCCCCGGTGGTGACGGAGGACGAGGTGGTGGTGGGGATTATCACGCCCTCGGACATGCTGAAGGAGATGGAGATGGAGGCGACGGACGACGTCTCGCGCTACTCGGGGAGTGGGAGCACAGAGAGCTTCTTCGGGACGCCGATCTTGCAATTGGTCACAGCCCGCGCCTCCTGGCTGGTCTCCTTGCTCATGTTGCAGAGCCTCTCCTCCATCATCCTCACGCACTTCTCGGCCCTCATCGAGCGGCACCTGGTCATTGCCCTCTTCTTGACCATGCTCACCGGCACGGCGGGCAATGCGGGGAACCAGAGCTCCGCCATGGTCATCCGGGGCATTGCCACGGGGGAGATCAACCGAAAGAACGGGTGGAAGGCGGTGGTCCGGGAAGTGAAGGCGGCGTTGCTGATGTCGGCCCTCTTGGCGGTGGCCGCTTTCCTTCGAGTCTACATCACTCCGGGGAGCACGGTCATGTCCACTGTGGCCGTTACCCTCGCCTTGTCCGTGACGGTGGTGGGGGCCTGTGCCTTTGGCACGGTGGCGCCCCTGGTCATGGACAGGCTGGGCGTGGATCCCGCCAATTGTGCCTCCCCGGCGCTCTCCACCTTAGTGGACGTGGGGGGCGTGCTGGTCTTGTGTGCTCTGTCGAGTGCCATGTTGGGCTGAGTGGCTTACTGGTAACGAGAACGTCAAGTCGAGGAGGACATGAGAAGGGTAGAAGGCATGTGAGTCAAGGTTCGAGGAAGGCTCGGTCCCTCGACAGCTTTTGCATGTGTACAGAAGGAGGGAATTAAGATTGGAGCACAACCGTCGCGTTCGAAAAAAGGCAGGAATGAAAGGGAAATGATGTGATTCAATTCAAAGAATGGATTCAGGATGGAGTAGAAGAATAAGAAGAATCAAATGTTTCTAACTGGCGAGACGGACGGGAAGGCAGAGCCCGAGTCCGTGCCCGGGGGGGTCACAGTCAGACTTGGTTATCCCGGTACTATTATTTCAATCATAAGTGTAAGCGCATCAATCCACACGTCGTCCCCCGTCCACGATGCGAAGTTGCCTGCCGTCCCCTTGCTCGGCCCCTCTGCTTCTACAGCGGAGGGGAAATGCGGCGACATGCCTCTATTTTGCGCTAATCGCGTGGCTCCGGCCCTGCTTCCTTCTCTTACTTGACTTGTGCACCGCGAATACTGTCATTTCAATCGACATTCTTCCTGTGACATACACTGACTGTGTGACACACAGGTGCCCCAACCTGGTGGCCTCCCACACAGTCGTCTGCTCTCAGGACCGGCGCGCCCCCATCATCCCTCCTCCAACTATTGGTCCGCAAGCGAGGAGACTTATCCTCCACGACCCTTCCCTAAGCGCCATCTCCGCACGTAAGGCCCCGTCCTCAGACGTCGCGGTCCGCCGCCAGGCACCATTGCTTGAAATTCCTCGCCAAACGCGACCGGAGCTGCTCACGACGGTCTGTCTCCCCGCTCAGACTCGTCTTCAGCTTAGCCATCTCCTGCAATAAGGCGTCGTCAAGTCCCTCCTCCTCCTCCTCCTCCGGGGGCCAGCTGGTCCTCCAAGGACATCACTCCTCCGAACCCCCCAGAGACTCCGTCGCGTTCACCCATGTCTCTCCCTCCACCCGAAGCCCAAAGCGTGCGCAGGAGTCGCTCCTCGGCGGCGGCATCGTAGCAAGAGGGGCAGAGACCCGCTTCGCTGGCTCCCCCCCCTCCGCCTCCACACACCCCCACCAGCTCCCCTCTCAGCACCTGACCGTCTCCCAAGGCTCCCGTTGTCGCGCGCGGGGACCGCCCGTCACAGGCCTGCGCCTGATGGGGGAGCACGTGCGAGCAGCGTCTTAGCACGGGGCAAGCAACCTGGCCCTCCGGGTATCCTGCGGGCTGCTCTTGGGCCACGAACGTGGACGGCGGCTCCTCGGATCCATTGCCTCCCTGAGCTCCCCCGTCGGCGACGTCGGGGTCGACCGCCAGACCCGTGGAATTCTCTCCACGAGTGGCGAGCTCTTGAGGCGCTCCCTGCGGCCGCTCTTCCACCTGCCCCCCACCAGATCCGCCCCCTCCCTCCATGTCGTCCTCCTCGTCATCCCCCTCTCCGAGCCCTCCCGAGTCGCAGGCTACGCTGCTACTGCAGCTCCCACCCCCAGCGGCCTTGCGGAGCTTCGCCCTAGCCTTCCGCTCCTTCTTCTTCCGACTCTTATTCTTCCGCCTGGCGGCTGCCTCGCCCTCCTCTTCCTCCACCTCCTCCAACAGCCGCGTCGCCGCCATCTCCGCTGCGGAGGCAGCTGACAACACCATCAGTCCTTTCCCATCATCCTTGGCCAAAGACGTCGGCCTGTATTCCTTCGCGCCAAAAGTGGCACTGGCAAGCTGCGTCCGGATCGCCTGCATGGCGAGGGCGAAGAGGTAGTGCTCTGATTGAGCGTGAGCCGTTTGCTGGTGCCAAGCCGCCCGCAACTGGGAAAGAAGGACCGAGCCGATAATGGCACGCACTTCCCGCTGTCCATGCTCGAGCGTGGCCGCATGCCGCTGCCCCGAGGCGGCGTATTCCTGCGAGTCAAAGTCCTGTGCAAAGAGGGAGGGTCCAAGGAGGCAGATCAGGATCAGGACAAGGACTGACAACCGAGGACGACATCGCTCGGCCGCCGTCTTCTACCCACCCATTCCGTCGCGCAATCCGGGCCCTGCCTCCTGCCTCTATCCCTCCCTACCTGCGCCCAGGCAATGAGCCTCTCCACGTCCTCGACTGCGCACCAGAGGACTCTGTCGTCCTCCCCTTTCAGGGGCGTCGCGGGTCTGGCCCCCCCCCCTGCCGCAGAGACAGCTTCCACCGCACCAGCGTCCTCCTGACCGCTCTCACTGTTTGACGCACTCTTTCTTTGCTTCTCATACCCTATATCTTCCAGTTCAACTTTCCTCCTCTCACCTCCCTCGTCCGCCTCTTCCCCGCTCTCCCGCTCCTCCTCTTCTTCCCCGCCCCCCTCCTCCTCCCCCCCGCCATTCCCTTCCCTTCCTCCTTCCTTCACCGACCCGCTCCTTATCCCCCCCTCCCTTCTTTCTCAGGCGGTACGTCTCCATAGGCAGCGCTTCGATCCACGACGCGGCCCATGAAAGGCCGGTAGAGCTCCATGTCCACGTCTTCGCCCTCATTCACCTCCCCAACGCCGACGCGCTCCGTCAGGATGTCCAGTGCCATCACCACGTTATGCTTGCAGTCCGCACAGAATCTATGACTGGCGGTAGCTGCGTGCATGGCTGTTTGCAGCGTCCCCAGCTCGATTTTCCCCACCCCCTCCTTCGCGGCGCCTGGCAAGCGCGCCCAGGCCGCCTCACGATCCCACCCGCCGTCTCCGTGGCCCTGGCTGTAGTGCTGATGCTGCCACCCGCCTGCCCCCCACCCTGCCCCGGACCCCATCCGTCGATGCAGGGGGCATCGGCCATGCGCTCCATGGGCCGACACCTTTTTCGGGAGGGGCGGTGGAGGAAAGCGCTCCAAAAGCTGGGCCAGACGGGACGGGTTCTGCATAAATTGCTCGCGAAGGAGGAGGGTCGTACTGGAAGGACCATCGGCCATGACAGCATTGAGAAGCCGTAACTCACTCAGCGGTCTTGAGAGAAGCATTTTAACAGCAGCTAGGCAGCCGGCGCAGGTCGAGTACTGGGAGGACAAGTTAATGAGTTGAGATTTATCCACCGATATAGCCTGTCCTGAAGCTGCTAAACCAGTATTTGTGGGGATTCCATTATCGTCTTTTGTGCCAGGTGTTATCATCTTTGAGTCTGTGCTTTGGGAAAAGAGTCCATGTGATTTCTTTCTCGCGTTCACGTTTTTCTTTTTTGCTGCGACATTTTCGAAAGAGGAAGGGGGTAAATCGGTCCGTCTGGATGAAATATCATGGGTATGAAGGTGGGTGTGGAGACCGTGCCCTAATGTTGGCTCCCTGTCGTCGTAGAGCTTGGAGTGGCATGCGGTTGTCAGAGACATGGTCCTAGGTGGGGAGGGGCGCCTAGGAGGCCTTGAAAATGTCTGAAGCGCACGCTTGCCGCCTTATCACCAGTCTCCCTCTTGTGCGTGTCCCCACGTCTCTGGGCCTCCTATATCAGCTTCCTGTTTTAAATGGTGGTTGTTAGGGAGAGGGGCAGCAATACACCTCGGAAGCAAGTCGTGTGTCCGACGACAGAGACGGCGAATTAGAGGCGGGACTATCAGGGCCGACACACCCCTCAGATCTTCGCTTACGCCTTCGGATAGGAAAGAGCATGACACGAGGACTGGCGTTCAAAGTGTCACTTCAAACAGTCGGCAGGGCTTCGTGATTAAGTCATGAATATGCAAGTAGTAGTGTTTGAATTGTACCGAATAAGACAAGGAGCAACCTCCCGGCCTGCGGCCTTTTTCATCTCAAGGGCAAAAGAGAACGAGAGAAGTGACTAGTACGAGTAGTCCGTCACTCTGGAAGTTTTGGAAGCTTCGGAATGCCCAATGATTTTGTTGCAGTCGATGAGCTCGCATTTTCGTGAAGGATACACTCGTTTCCGCCAAGAAAAGGATCTCTAATAGTAATCTGACCATGGGAAGATAAATGCACCGAAAGTAATACAGCACTCTTCAGGAGCCATCAAGACCTACAATTATTATTTGCATGTATAGAGCCGGCCGTGTCTTAAAATATGCATGTAACATGTCCTCATTACAATCAAGCACAAGTGGATTTCACTTGCGTGACCCTAGCAGTTCAAAAATGTGGGTTTCAAACCATCATCTCTCTCAAATTTACTGTTTCAAAAATTACTTTTCTTCCCTAGCGACTGTGTCACAACCAGATTCAATCCCTCGAAACTGTCCAGCTTCCTGCACTTTCTGACAGAGCAACATTTCCTCGTTACTAGAAATGTGAGTGATACCATTAGCCCCCCAGGTGCCTTGATCGTCCATCTCCCTCACGCACGGACAAGACCAAAGCCCATCGCAAATTGTTGTTGAGGGACTTGGCGAAGCGAATGCCATCAAGAGGTCAGGTCCAGGGACCTCGACCAACACAGCCTCCAGAAAGGACTCAAGGAGGCCGAGCTTGAACGCCAAGTAACCCACACTCAGGCATCGCCACCACTTCCGTCCCCTTTCCAGCGCTTTCCATGCGCCTCGTGTGGCTGGAAACATGTCAGCCGCATTTCGGTATACGCGCTGGATGTCCCTGAAGAACTTGGCAAAGGCGGAGTATCGCCGCCATGCAATGAATGTCTGCTGATTAATGCAGAGGCAGACTAAGTACTCGGCATGCTGGCTGCCCCATCCGGTTTGGCAGATGCGAAAGCCCCCCAGGCCCAGGGCCGCGTACACAACTTCCGGCTGCCGCTTCGAATGTGAGCGGTGACTATGGAGCTGGAGAACACGGGGGTGGCGGTGGTGAAAACAGTGCGTCGCCCGGCCAGGGGGTCCTCCACCCACGGTGCCGGAGAGGGCAGCAGCCTCCTCCAGAAATTGCCGCGTCATCACTGAGAAGTTGCTCTGTGGCAGGTGAAACAGAATTTCACCTTCTCGCTGCCGATGCCAGTGTTGGCGTCTGGTGCCGTCTGCTGCGTGACTGTAGCTCATCGTGGTAGTGTCTGCATCCATTCTAGTGCTCTTACTGCGGCCCAGGCTGCCCTCCTCGTTCACGCTGTCATGACGACAGATAGGCACCCGTGGGAGAAGACGCTCACATTCATCTGTCACGCCTCCAGCTTCATCAATTTGAAGCCCCCCGTGACCGGTTCCGCCGGGCATCGAGGCATCTAACACGTCCACCCGCAGTGTCTCCATCCGAGAGAGGACTCGTACATGCTTGATGTCACCGCCACCACCATCCTCTTCTCCGTGCTCATCTCCACTATTCGCTGGGCTTACATTATCCTCCTCGTACCAGCCGTAGCCCCCGACCGAATGGAACATCCCATCCGGTGTGGTGCCATGCATAGGTCCTCCCTCTATGTCCTTGCCGCCTACTGGAGATGGTGCCGTGGACAAAGCAGGGAGGGAGAGCACATGGCTCTTTGCGTCTGCAGTCAACCGCACGTGCGAAAGTGTTGATTTTACTTTTTCCTTTGGTTCATTGTGTTGTCTGGGTTCTCCCAGTGGCGGATGGGGGGATGGTGTGCGAGAAGACGAGGACATTCCGGCCACCTTGCACTCGGAATGGTCGCCTGCGCCCTCAGCCTCCGCGCCCGACAAGACTGCACCGCGTGCCCTCCTTCCACCCTTTATGATAATGTTTGGGATACATTACGGCGCAAAATGAGGTGAAAGCACGAGATACATTGCTTGCAAGCGGCGGTTGAAAGCCGGGCACGGGCAGCGTCGTCATCGCGAACGCGTTTGACGACTCGTCTCCCGGCGAGACACAGCCACCCCGCCCACGCTCGTTTTTGGAGCCGAAATCATTGAAGTTTTCCTTTTGATGAGAAACAAGCTTTTGTGCCTTAGAGCTTGGGTGCATTGGCCAAGAAGCATGATTAATGTCCTGTATTATACATTGAAGCAGGGACACGGCTGGCTCCCTTCGGTGATGAGCGGTCAGCGGGCCGACGGGAGGCATGAGGAGGTAGAGGAAGGAGGAGTGAAAGCGGAAGGAGTGCGCGACAGGTCCAACGATAATGATATGGAGCAAACAGGCCCTACTCAAGTGTTGGAAAGTGTACGCAGCGGTGCTGGAAGCGGGATTGGGGGTCCTGGACAGGGGGAACGGAATCACGGGCTGGATCCAAGAGAGCTGGCGCCGTTTCTGAACGCCCTGGACCAATATCATCCTACGGTACGTTATGGGGGCTGATGGCACTGGGTAGAGATATGAGAAGAGTTATGGAAAGAAACTACTCGTGCCTCAATGGGTACTTCTCTGTAATGCCTCTGCCTTGCGATAAAGCCCGGCACCCGTCCTGGACTGGACGACTGCCTCGACGAAACACGTGCTTTCATACCGTCACAAAGACGGGAAAAATGAACGAGATCCATCTTGGGGGCGCTTTGAGTAGATCGTGACGGAAAGAATTTCTGAAGAAGACGACCAAAGACACTGTTTGTCCATGCTTCTCCTGGATGGACATGCCCCCCTCACCTTCCTCACTCCCCCTAGATCCCAGAAGAGGTCACAGCCTATTTTTTGCAACAAGGAGGAGTGACAGTCACGGATTCAAAAATGTACGTGAGACAAAAGATGCTCGACAAGCCTTGCTTTCGTGGGGTTTTGTGGCCCCTGCTTGAATGGGAAGGAATGATCCATCCCACGCGCTTTTGTCTGAGACTCCCCCGTTTCAACCCATCTTCTGATTTTTCGCTTCACAAGCACTTGACTTGGTGTCTCTGGCTAAGGATATCTGATCTTAATTATTGTCATTGCACACTTTTTACGACCAGCAAAAAGCTTGTCTCGCTGGCAGCCGAGAAACTTGTGTCGGAGATAGTGCACGACACAACTACCTACAGTCGCATGAAGGACCAAGATGGAGATATACTCAAGATGGAGGACTTGAGAGAGAGTTTGGGTAAATACGGAGTAGAGAAATTTAAGATCAGAGCAACCGAAGAGGAGAAGAAGGAGGAAGAGGGAGGTAAAGGCGGTGGTGGGGAGGTTGCTTTTGGGGGAGAAAAAAGTCTTGGCAGTGGAAGGGAAGGACGAGGTGGAGGCGGAGGTCGTCGGGCACCATCCAGAAACTCATAAACATAGAAGCTGAACAAGGCTAATGTCTATGAGGCAAAAGTAATCACGAAAAAAAATTCACGCCTCGCTGTGAGCGGTACAGGCTGGAATCAGTTGGCCGACACCCCGCCTTCAAATTCTTTTGAGAGCTAGGCAACATGATCATTAACAAATGAATGTAGACAGTCGTGCATGTTTTCGGTCTCACCCTTTGCGTGTAGATGTGGTGACCGGCTTGTAAAGGGGAAATTGGGACCATAGAAGTGGTATCGACGTACACTGTGTCGTTCCTCTCGCGAAAGGGCCATATCAGAAGGAATACCTCATCGAGCATTTTACCATGGCTTGTCGACATTCAGAGAAAGGACCTAAATTTTGGTATCTCCCTATTGAAGGCATCCCATGGCCGCCCTGGCTTCAGGAAAAAAGCCAGTATTAGGTGCTGCACCTCCGAACACTGCTATCGCCCGCACAGCCCCCTCCACCCTGGAGGACAGCGCTATTCCTCTTTCTAAACTTCGCAGTCAAGGCCGCAAGGAGCTCCTCGACGTGCTGCAAGCGGCGAGAGGTCGGAAAGCGTTGGTGCTGGATACAGCGTTGCGTGGATTACTGGCTCACATTGTCCCTGAAGGAACTAACTTCCTGCGGCAGCACGGGGTCGTACACTTATGCCGAGGACTGCAGACTGACCTTACTTTTGTGACCCCAGAGGGCAGAGACGACGAGCCTGACAATATTTTGTACTTTGTACGGCCTTCATTGAGTAACATGCGTATGTTGTCGGCGCAGCTCAAAAAGCGGAATGGCAAGCGTCAGATGGGTGGGGGACGGAAGGCCTTAACCAGAAGTGCAAGCGAGAGTGGGTCGGGCGGAGGTCCGTATCAGCCAAAGGAAGGCCGGCACCTCCTGTACTTCGTCCCGCACAAAACGTTTCTGTGTGAGCAGGCCTTGTCGGATGAAGGAGTTTTGGAACGCTTCGCGGAGGTAGGGGAGTGTCATCTAGATCTCTTTCCTCTCGACACCGACCTTGTCTCCCTGGAAATGGATACGTCGTTCAAAGACGCCTACGTGGACGGTGACTCTACCATGCTTACTACCGTCGCACGATCTCTTCAAAAGCTCGAGGAAAATTTCGGTGTGATCCCCCACGTCAAGGCAAAAGGCACCCACGCCGCGGTTGCACTGCAACGGTTCTTTAATCTGAAGAGACAGCAAGAAGAAGAGAAGCGAGGAGACGAGTTTGCGACGACTACGACCCCGTCTTCCTCCCACAGGGGTACAAGCGCGCCCGAGATCGACACCTTGGTCTTGCTGGACCGGGCCGTGGACCTGGTGACGCCGCTCTTGACCCCGCTCACCTACGAGGGCCTTTTGAACGAATGCTTGGGGATCCAGCACGGAGCCATCAAAGTAGACCCGAGCCTGGTAGGGGACACGGATGACACAGGCGGTGGGAGGGGAAGGGTGATAGGGCGTGGGACAACGCCCGAAAATACGGCCGGGGGCGCAGGAAAGGAAGGAAAGGGGGAGCCCGTGACCGTTGCCTTGAACAGCAATGATTCGCTCTACGCGGAGATCCGAGACTTGCATTTGGAGGTTCTGGGGCTTCAGTTGAATGAGAAGGCGATGGAGATGCGACAGACATACGCACGCGTGAAGGAGGAAACGCGGGACGGCTCCCTGAACGAGATCCACGACGTGGTCAAGTCCATACCGGCCTTGCAGCAGAAGTACAAGGGCCTGAACCTACACATCAATATCGCGGAGTTTCTGAAACCCACTACCGGACACGTGCGCTTTCAGCAACGCTGGCAATTGGAGCGGAGCATGCTGGAAGGCGAGACCTGCTACGAGGACGTGGAGGAGATGGTGGCCGCGTACGAGCCCGTCGACCAGGTCCTGCGCCTCCTCGCTTTGCAATCCCTGACCGCGGGAGGGATCAAGGCCTCCAAGTACGAATTGCTGAAGCGAGAGATCATCCAATCCTACGGATACGAATATTTGTTCGCATTGACCAACATGGAACAGGCAGGGCTGCTCCGCAAGGCGGACCTCCAACTCTCAAATGTCATGTTTGGCAGCATTGGTGCCAGCGGCTTCTCGTCCACAGGGGGCTCAGGCAATGCATGGGCGAGCCTGCGACGTCTGCTCCGGCTTGTCAAGGAGAACGTAAACACGCAGGTCCCGGACGACATCGCTTACGTCTCTTCGGGCTACGCGCCGCTCTCGGTCCGCTTACTTCAGCTTATTCAAAAGCCGGGCTGGGCATCTTGCTCGGACGTTTTCAAGTTCTTACCGGGCCCTACTCTAGAATGTACACAGACCCAGGAAAACACGAGGAGGGGAGGTGCGCCGCTCTCGTTCATGCAAGAACTGGATAGGCTTCTAGGCACTGCGTGCAGCGGGACTGACGGAGACATCGGGGGGAGGCCTCAGCCATCCGTGACGCCAGTGACACAACATCTTGGCCTTTCAGCTGCCGAGACTGGGGGGAAAATTTTGCCAAACGGGAAGACTGTCATGATGGTGTACTTTATCGGCGGGGTCTCTTTTATGGAGATTGCAGCGATGCGGTATTTATCCCGGCATAAGGACTTTCCGTACTCTATTATCGTCTGCACAACTAAGCTTATAAGTGGAAATCTTTTTATAGAATCAGTTTTCGAGAACTTCAGAAACTCCCTTGGAAGATCGTAGCGTACGTTGCATTAGTCGTGGCGCTTGGGAAGCTAAAAGGGCTGGGGCTTTGAGCGAGTGGCGTACATCGTGGCCTCACTTAGACGTGTAAAGCAATTGAAGCTAACGATAAGGACGAATTTATGTACTCGCAAATTACTTTTTGTAAGGTTATTTTTTGTCTGTCTGGCAAATAGCTTGGAGCGAGTGAAACATTACGCAAGTAAAATGGGTGTTTTTGTACTGTTCTTCCCTATCTAAATTTCCAGTCTGGCGAGTCAGAGGCCTGTACCGTAGTACCCGCGAGGCCGCTGTAACGGTGAAGAAAGAATCCATGAAAATTTAACAGAAGTCAATGTTCTGATAAGATAACCCCCATGGTTCACAATAACCTTGCTTAGGCTAAAAACTTTGCTACCGGTGGCCCATGGCTGCATTCCGGCGGACACCGCCAGGAGGTTAGCCATACGATTGTCGTGCTTGCTCACCATGTCTTTGAATGTAATCGGTTCTATCGTATAGGCTCCCCCGTCTGCTCTAATGTCAGACAATACTATTGCGTTAGGAAACACTCCTTTTACAAAGAATCGAAACACGCACTCATCCCGGGATCCGGCTTTACTGCCTCCCCTTCATGTGACCTTGGTAAAAGATTATTTTACCGGCTTTCAAACCTTTCTTTCTACCATCGAACAGGCACAAAGTCGTAAGAATGGCATCTTTGTCTTCTTCCTCGATACAGTCAGCCGTGGAGCGCGCCGTTGTGAGCAAAGGTGGTCATTTATCATCTTCTGGCTCGTCTTTGGTCATAGTCCACGCTCGACCGACTGCCCCACCATCCTCGTCTGCATATAAAGCCCAAGTTTTCGCTGGACACACCAGGATTGTCTACAATCATTTGCTTGCAAGATTGAGAGACTCGCTACGGTATCATGGCCTTGTTCTGGTGGGCTTGGAGGATACTCCTCCCATTTTGCTGGACAATGATCGGGACGAGGAAAAAATACTAGCGTTCCTGGATAGCTTTTCCATGACCACAAAGGATGCCGAGTCAAGATTTGTGCCACCTTTGAATTTTTCATCTGGAGAAGAGTTCGTGGACGCCATTCGAAGAGCGTTGCCTTCCGCGTCGTCTGAACCCGTGTCAAATACCCTCCAAGGGGGTACTAGGAAGTACGAGGAGGACGGAGAGGAGGAGGGAGACACAGCATCGAACGACTTCTCTTCGAAGGCCATTGTGGTAGGCATCGATTCCCTGAATATGCTGGCTCACAGGCTCGATGGCACGCCAGCCCTCTTAAATACATTGCGAAGCCTCCTGCATGCTGGGGGTACCCGCTTTGTCTCTCCAATCTTGACCGTGCTCCATCCGGAGCCCTGTGGCACGGGCGGAGAGTCCCTGTTATCTAGAGAGTGGATGATAGCCTTGGAGGATCTAGCTACCACAAATATTTGCCTCTTCCCGGACGACGAGGCCTCGGGTCGATGCCAGGTGATAAGGAAAAGTGCCTCTGGGAAGGTCCATGAGGAATGGGAGTCTTACAGCTTCGATGCCAAGCGAAAGACTTTGTCGTTCAGCCCTGAACCTTCACGTACTGTATATCCTGGACCTCAAATAAGCAAAGCATTAGTTGATTCATCACGTGCGCAGGTAGATAGTATAGACGGCGTGAGCGGCAGCAAGAAAAAAGGAGCAGCTTTTGTGGAGAGCCTGCCTTTTCGCCTCTCTCTCAACGAACAAGAGCGTGCCATGAGGGACCAGACAATTCTACCTCATGAGCGCCAAAAAATATTGGACCACCAACAGACTTCTCAAGCGTATGCTTGGGACAGGAAAATCAAACAAAGGGGAGCTGGAGGGGAGGAGGAGGAAGAGGAGGAGGAGGAGGAGGAAGAGGAGGAGTATGATGAAGACATAGACGATGATCTAGATTTATAATTGTAAAATGAATGAATTAAATCAAATGGAACGAAAGTTTGCGACCATGAAGTCCATGACACGCCTTTTGGGTCGAGAGGAAAAGAGACAACCGCGCAACTCATTTCCCCCTGAAGGCTCAGGCTGGGAGCTGCAACAAACCGGCCCGGCGACACCCGCCTACACTCTGCCGCCAGGTAAATAAGACGCTGATATCTTTCCCAAAAGATGTGAGCTGATCATTCACGGCCAAGTCTTTGCGTCCGGGACTTCTCCTTCCCCCATTTCCTGGACCCCACCCGAGGTCGTGTGCGTGATCGAGGGCAATCCATCCAGCCTGTCACCGGCTCTCCCGCCTCCGCCCATCATCACGCCCTCCCCTCCTCCGGCTTCGAATTGCCTTTCTGCAGTCCCATCTTTCTCGCAGGTCTCTTGATGGTCGTGTGTGACCGTGGAGGGATTTGCAATCAGAATGAAATTAATCTCGTTGGATGGAATCATATGCGCTTCTTATCTTTCTCATTACATGATCCAGCAGACGAACTGCAGCAGGAAGAAGGAGCAAGAGAGGCCGTCAAGCAGATCTGCAGTCGTCACGTTCTACTGTACACTTAGCGGTACAAAGACAACTAGTGGGAGCAGTCATAGGGAAGTAGTATCAACTCGCTCATCATCATGGAGGAAGGAACCTTTGTGGAGGAACCACCTCCGCCAGCTGCAGTAAAGGAGGAAGGAGAGGACGACGCCGTCGCCTCTGACGAGGGTGGGTTTAACGTACAGGGTAAAGACGTAGGAATGCTTGACCACGGGAAATCAGTCAAGGACAAACGCACTGAAACTTCCGATGAGGCAGCGAGGGCATCTATGGAAGAGGAAGGGGAGGTGCTGGACGAGGGAGAGGAAGAGGAGCCGTCAGGCCCCGCCTCGGAACAACAGAAGCCTGACACGGGACCGCAAGATGCAGCGGAGGGTCTCGAGGGTGGGGAAGGAGCGCCTCCCAAAGGTAGTAGTGATAAAGCTTCCTCTGTCCCGGTGCGCCAAGAGGAGGTGGAGGAGGGCATCGAGGTCTTTGTGGGCGGGTTGCATCAAGGGGTGAGAGAAGCGGAGCTGCGGCAGGTCTTCGGAAAATGTGGAGAGGTCCTGGGCGTGCGTCTGATGAAAGATCGTCGGTCAAAGCAAATGAAGGGGTATGCGTTCGTGCGGTATCGGAGTCCGGAAGAAGCGAGAAAAGCGGCGGAGGAGTTGACGGGTTGCGAGGTGCATGGGAGAGCGCTGGAGGTCCGCTCCTGCGAAGAGAACAAGCGGCTGAAGGTGAGCAACCTGGACAGGAGGTGGACGCCGGAGAAATTTCGGGACTTGATGGAGTCGGCGTTGGCGGCGTACTCCGGAATTGTACTCGTGGAGCTCCAGGAAAAGTCGGAGGTGAAAGAGAAGGGGGAAAAGGGCAAGGGGGAAAAGGAGGGCGAGGAGGAGGAAGTGGAAGAGGGGGAGTTGGAAGTAGAGGAAGGGGAGGTGTCTGAATCGCCCAAAGGGGGACCAGAAGAGAAGTCGACCGAGGGAGAGGGCGGCGCAGGGGAGCGGGAGGCGAGCGCGGACGA